CCTCAAACCATTCCAGTGTATTAGATTGGATTGTGGAAATGTTTTGGATTTGTGGGCAGTGTATTAGAATGGGGGCAGTGTGTTATATTGGGTCTGCATTGAGGCACTGAATGCTCCCCATGGAGATGCTGATTGGCCCCACAGCTTTTTGCCACACATGCACAATAGCCTCCCAATGCTTTACTATGTGAAAGCATTGGATTGGCTGAGATCATCAAGTTTGATGATCTAAGCCAAAGTGAAGAACACACTTATAGGACTTCAAAATCAAAAAAAACAAGATAACGTAATTTGTTTTTTACAGCGGTGCAACAGCATATATTCACCATTTCAGTCCTATTATCAAACTTTTCTTAATATATCAAGGCAGTTTGAGTGAAACATTGGTTATATGCAAATGCACGTCTCCTTAAAATAAATCCACTCTTTTGTTTACTTTTAAGCACTACGAGCATGTGGATGTCCAGTGTCAGTTAGGCAACTTTTTTTATACTGTACTTTTCGAAATAAACCTACTTTTCTATGAAAACTGAAGTTTCTGTTTTTTTTGCGGCCCACATAAACGTAAAATTTTGTTTATTTGGCCCGTGTTAGCCTTTGAGTTTGACATGCTTGTATTAAAGGAACACTATAGGCACCCACATTGTATAGTGTGTGCTCAGCTGCCTGGTGTCCACCATGAAATTATCTCAGCTGCTTCTTGGCTACATTTTAACACTGCAGATTTATCATATATTTCCTGCTGCATAGGTAATACGGATTCTATCAGTGTGCTGATATTTTAACCCTGTGTACACTGTGTGCTGAGCGCTAATAGTGAGCCAGGAGTAGCTGACATGTTTAGTAGCAGCAGTAACAGTTAGTAGAGTATTTTACTCAGCTCTGCCTTTAGTAGGGGTATCTATGTAGTCTTATTAGCGCTATGTATTTTATGGCCTTTTATTTAACCCTTTAAGGGTTTGATCGTGAGGTCCTCGCAAGGATCTTGCGATCACATGGACCAGGAGGGCCGAATAGGCAGCAGGGGAACAGCCTGAGATGCCAGGCAAGTCCCCCCATCGGGGGATCGCCAGCGAGCAGGTAAGTCCCCTGGATGGCAGGGACGTACTATGCCGCCCTCCAGCGTTTAGAGACGGGTCCCCAAGGACGGCATAGTACGCCCACCATCCTTAAGGGGTTTATAATCTCAGCTTCATGTATTGTATTGGTATCACCTTATTGTACTGGGTTCTTTATAATGAATGGGTATCTCTGTATTGTACTCAGTTTTATATTGCATTGGTATCTCTGTATTGTACTTAGCTTTAAGTATTATATGGATTACTTTAAATTATACCTAGCTTTGAGTTTTGTATGGGTAATTCTGAATATTACCACGTGACAGAAGGCTCCGTATTTTGCATTACCTTTTTTTTAATCACTCCATAGCAGCAAAGAACATAAAAAAACATAAGCTGTCAAACAAACAACTATGGCCTAGTATTCTCTTGATTTATCTAAATTTACTGCTTCTATCTATGTTGTGGGGCTGTTTAGGGTTGTGTTTGCATGTGCTATCCCTGCTCTTGGGTCTCGGGGCTACTGTGTGTGGCCTTTCCTGGTTTTCCCTTTAGTTGCCCTCACAACTTATCCCCAGCACCTCTTACCCTCCTTCCCCTGGCATTCAGGCATGAGTTTAGATCCCTGGCGGCTCCAACCGCTGTATGCCCCTGCTTCCTGTATTGGCTACACTCGCCAAATCGGAGAACTGATTCGCGCCGCCGACTGCTTCCAGGTACAAAGTGGGGCACCCTGAGAGCTGATTCAACCTTGTTTGCTTGCACGCCGGTCACCTTGCAAATTATGCGGCGTTGGCGAATGCGCTTCCATTCGGACGCGGAATGCATCACAATTAGCAATTGGTGCATACATTAACCACAGGGTTGTTCAAATTCGGCTGTGAACAATTAATTTGTGGTCTAATTCGACCGCAAATGTCTGCATTCTCTCAGGCTATTACTTGTGCTCTGTGATTCCCTAACTGAAGCCGAACAAATTTGCAGCTGTTAATTTCTTTTCCGGTGGCTATCTTGGATCTCATCTTGCGACTCCTTGTTTTGTGTTAGGAATTGAGTACATGAGGTTAAGCAGACAAGTAGATAAGAAGAAGGTGGATACAGAGTTAAGGGGTGGAGTTAGATTCCAGGAGAAGAGTCTGGCACCCCACAATCTTAAACTTTCCCCAGCAGCCACTGACGAATGAGAAGCACTCATTTCCGCTTCAAACTATGCAAGAGAGGAAGAAAAACCTGCATGCTTGTCACCCGGGCAGTGATACTAAGGGAATAAATAAAAGTGTTAATTTCTTCTTAAATAGGCACTTTAAAAAAAAAAATTATACGCCTGCAGGGAATTGTAGGTAACCTCTTAAGCAGGAGTAGGCAGCCTTTGGCACTCCAGATATTGCTTAATGTAGTGGTTCTGTCCCTGCAGCCTTAGCACTTAGCACTGGTAACTTTTTCTTTTCTTTGGTTTTTACAATATATTGGGGCTGATGTGTACTGTAGTCATTGCTGCCGGCCCAGTAGTGATGGGAGTGAGCGCAGGACTTCTCTTTTTGTATTTACTTTGTATCACACAGCCTTGTTACAATGCTGCCGCCCATCCCATCTGTTCCTTATTAAGGGTTAGTAAGTATATAGCGGTGTATATAAAAAATACCCCTCTCTGTCTCATTAGAGATATCTTTGCCAGAAGCTCAAGGAAGCAGGCTGAATGGTCAGTGTTAGGACCCGCTTAGGGGGGTCTGCCTTGACGTTGGCAGGCGGGCATTCCCTCCAGTGGCCATTGAGCAACTAAATGACCTTCATTTGTCTAAATATACATAGGGATTAAGGAGAGAGCGCAGGTAACTTTTTCTTTTCTTTAGTTTTTACTATTTATTGGGGCTGATGTGTACTGTAGTCATTGCTGCCGACCCAGCAGTGATGGAAGTGAGCGCAGGACTTCTCTTTTTGTATTTCTCAAGAACTAAGAACCTTTACTACAGAACCTTAAAGAAACTTTGATAGGCTTGAATTATTCGCATACTCCATGAGTGCAATATTACTAGTAGGGACATTCCTGCTAAATGGTGTTTCCCTATGAGTGTTCTCTGTTTTTGTATCTTTAGGTGTATCTTGTATTCTCTATGTGTGTGTATTTCTTTATTCAGGGTTTCCAATTGTGTCGTATTACATTTTGGACTTTTTAATTTAAAATCCTTAAGTTTTTATGAAGGTGTCTTGCTTGGAATATTATAAAGTGAATAGTAAAAGTCTGCTAAACTTGCCCCAATTTCTTCTAGTTTTAAAATTATTTTACTTTTATCAATAATTTTTGCAATGTTATTTTTTATCCTTTTTAAAATGTATTAGATAATAATCTGTCTGCTCTATTGCCCATGTGAGAACAGTTAATTTTAACTTTATCCAGGGTTCTTTTTATTCTCGTCGTTATCAAGTTATTAATAAGATTTTTAATATTTTTCATCTCCTTTGGTTTATATCTGGTTTTAGTTTGTTTTGGGACGATTTATCTAGTAGTCTATACAGTTCCGGTAAGGATTTGGATTTATTTTATCATTTTTCTAGAGCCCCCAATTTCATAAAATGTCCCTTTATAACACCTTTGTATGTGCACTAGATCATAGCTAAAGAAATGTCTTCAGTTCTGTTTTCTTGAATGAATTTACCGGTATCTAATATTTTTTTATATAAAGTACATTTTGTTCTTTTTCAATAAGTTATTGTTTAATCTTCAATTAGGTCTTGTCTTTTTTACTTCCTCCTTAATCTCCATAATTAACATATTATAATCCGACCAAATAAATTCTTTAATTAGTATTTTTTTTTTAATTCTACTAACAATGTTTTTTTTCCCCACCAAATATAGAATCTATTCTTGTGTAGATACAGTGTGTTTTAGAGAAACACGTATAATCATGGTCTATTGGGTGTTATATTCTCCTTATATCTAATAATAGTTCCTCCTGTATTATTTTTTTTTTAGCCTTATGGCATTGCTTACTAAGTTTTTTTGGACATTTCTTAGATCTATAAGCCTTTCTATCCATTGTAGTATCCATTGGGCAGTTAAAGTCCATTAATATCAATTCCTCTTGTTTTATTCTCTGTTTTTTTTTCAAAATCTTCTTTTTACAAATTTTAACTGCGAATTATTCAGAGCATATATATTAGATACTTTGCAAATATTTTTTTTTAATTCACCTATTATTATTAAATAACGGCCTTCTCTGTCTACTTCCTTATGTTTTAAATGGAAACTATTTTTTTTTGTTATCTAAAGATTATTTAAAAATAGAAGGGTAATTTTTGGATGAAAGTATTTTGCTGCCTTTAATAAGCCAGTGTGTCTCCTGTACTGTGTGTGTATGTGTGTATGTATGTATATATATATATATATATATATATATATATATATATATATATATATATATGTATTTACAGTACAGTGTATATATATATGTTTTCCTGGTATAGCAAATCTAACAAAATCATTCTGGCTACCCTAATGGTATTTAAAAAAATTAACTTTCGGTATCCTTCTAGTGAAATATTTATAATCGAGTATTATGAAAAATCCCCAGTCTTTTTTAGTAGCCACTTAGTCACAAACACTGGCCAAAATTAGCGCTCATATTTGTTTTTTGCATTTTTTTTTTAAATCTGGCCAGTGTTTGTAAATAAGTGGCTACTAAAAAAGACTGGACATACCCCACTTGCAATACCTTGGGTTGTCTACTTTTGCAAATGACATGCCATCATGGGAGTTATTCTCATTCCTGGGCTCCCACACGGTCTCAAAGGCAACGTAACCAATCTGGCAAATTTCAATGTGTACAAATGGGAAAAAAAATGTAACATGTTATATTTGACCCAGTAATTTTCCAAAAGCACCATAAAACCTGTACATGGGGGTACTGTTGTACTCGGTAGACATCACTGAATGCAAAAATGTGTATTTTATTGCAGTAAAACCAAACAGTAATATGAAATTCACAGTTAAACTGCCACGCAGAACTAAAAAAAAATGACATTTCTTAAATTTTCCCATTTTCTTAGATTGAATTCATATTAAATTGTTTCATATATGAATATTTGATGTGAAATGAAAGCCGTGTTTCTCCTGAACAAAATGATATATAATAAGCGTGGATGCACTAAAAATGAAATAGGTGGATTATGGTGGTACAGACATATAGTCAAACTCTAGGTTTCGTTTACATTATGTGTTAATCTGAACTTGTACAATTGCCTCCGTCCTAAAGAGTTAACCCTAATAAGCAATATTTACTCAATACAATAGATAGTTTCACTACAGCAGAAAATATATATAAAAAGGAAACATAAATGTAAGATGAAATGATTATGGTTTTAAAAACAGACTTTTTGTTAATCAACAATGGCAAATAATTGCTGGAAGAAAACAGCATTCCTGATGATCCTGGGTAACGGCTGCGGGTGGAACGCGCGTGGGGTGCAGACTGACGTGGCGCTTGGTCCAGAACGCGACTTAGACTTGATTTAACTTTAAATACTCTAGCCTTTGGTCCAATAAGGATTTATGTAACTTCACTTTCCTATGCAGTCTCTTAGATATTCCTTTGTATTTTTAGCACTTTTTTCACTTTAATTTTTTATTATTTTCAATCTAGGTGTCAGTGATCAGTGAGGGGTACGTTAGAATCGAATGACTTGCTGTTTTGTATTGCTACACGCGGCTTACAACATGGAGGGAACAAGTGCCAGCTGTCAAATATGTAGGGAGATATAGTTCGTAAATATATTAGACTATAACAGGGACCAACCAGCACTTGCACCCTCCCTGCCTGCCCTGTACTGATATTATTATAGGCATATAAATCAGGAAATCCCCTCTCCCCACCAAACTTTAGAATTTATTTCTATGATTTTCATTACTATATATATTTTTTTCAAGACTTTTATTACTCTGACTGAAAAGTAATCACCAGTTAAGAGCTTCGACACTGATTTTATTCAGCTGTATCTAAATCTGAATCATAGAACATTCTGTTATGAGAAACTGCAACTTCTGAGAAACCCTACGATTTTTTCTCGGACATACTTTGTATCCCAGTTAGAAGTGCCAATTAATTTTGGTACCGTATTTACTGTTTTTTGTTGAACATTACTTTTGTTTTGTGTTAGAGTAGATACTCCCCTTATTGTGTCACATTGCTTTTAGAATCCCAATACTAGGGAGCGATTTACTATTTAAAATTTTAGAAATAAAAGCAAATTTTTAAACTTTCAATTTTCCATTTGATGTTTCACCACAACCCTTTCTTTATTCTGGAAAAAACATTACTATAATTATCAAAAAATATTTTAATCAATCTTAGCTGATACAATGCAGAATATAAATTAGATATATTTACAAACCCAACCTTATTAGTAAAATATGGATTATAATAAAGTGTATATTATTTGGGGTAAAAGTAATAAATCTATAGATTAAAATAAAGCAACAGTTTTATTATTAATTGGAATGTACGCAAATTATTAATCAGAAAGTAACAACTAAATAAAATAAACATATTTAGGATTACATACAAAGACCAATTCAGTTCTAAAATTGCAGCCATACCAATGGAATATAGTTTCTAAACATGTTATTTATATAACCACTCTCTTTTCTAGTTGTTATATAAAAGCACATTTATGTAAATGTTATTATTGACTATTGTATTGCATATACATATTGTGACTTGGTATATACACCATATACAACATCAATGAGAGACATATGCGTTCAGCCTCAAAGATACTTTCTCTTTCAAAACAATATTTTGATAGCTTTGACTAAATTGCCTCGTTACACTCAAGTATTTTAAACTACTACAATTTTATTATTACTAAAACGTATTTGGTGCCTTTACAACACAAATACTAATAATTTTGGTTGATCTAATGTTGCATGTGACTTGGATTTTTTATATAATATACTGTCGTATAGCATACTACATTGAATATTAATTTGTGTAAATCCCGTACTATCCATTTTAGACGTTTCTACTAAAAGAACAAAATAATGAAATTTTGACACTCTGAAGTTTATTTATTCAACATAGAATTGTGTTTTATTTCTCTGAAGATTATGACATATTATAGTGTATTGTTTATTGTAGTCACTGTGCTCTTGGATACCAGTCTTACAATGGTACATTATTGTCGCTCAGTTTAAATGAGTTGTTCTGGGACATTTTTTGTTCTATAAACTTTCTTTCTGTACAGCGAGTCACATTACTGTGCATATACTAAAGGAAAGTACTTTCATTCCTTTATCCTTGCCATATATTCAATTGCTAAATATAGGTTAGAAGAAAAAAAAAAAAACTGAATTGTGGTGAATTGAAAACTGAATTGCAAATTTGAGTCAACAATAGCTGATATGGAAATATTCTCTCTGTTTGCTTTGGGTACAGCTTTGCTATTTATTATTATTATTTATATAACGCCAACAAGTTCTATAGCGCTGTACAATGGGTGGAGTATATTTCAACCGACATTTTGCAACATGCATTTCAGTTCACGTATAAACCTTCAGGTGTTCCATATGGAATATTTCTGGATGGGTAAAAATCTAATTAAAATGTATATTAAGCAAAATCTATGTTTCTAATTTGAAGCCACTTATATTAAAAAAAAATATCCACTTATGTATTTTATAACATCACTGTTTTAAACAGGTTTAATTGGTTTGCTAAACTTAAACTTTTCATGTATATTCAATAGGAAAGTAACTTGAAAAAAAAAACAACAAAAACATAATGATACAGACAGAATTCAGCACTCTTGGAAATATTTAAAATGACAAGCTATATTAAATGTATTGCAATACAGCTGGATAAGTAAGAATTAGAGCATCCCTCATGTGAGGGAACTATGCAGACTTGCAATTATTCATATATCACGCTATAATTTAATATGTAAATTTATTCAAAGTACATGACATAAGTTCTTTTACAGTTGTGTAAAAGTTAAAAATCCCAAGACATGTTGTTATCTATGTAAATTAATTCTTAACAATTGTAATATTTCAGAATCATAAATCTGTGCTTTTTTATAATGCTTAATAAAAAAAATTAAACAAAAATGTTTTATGTTTTAGTGCATAGATTCAGCATTGACTCCACATTGCAACATACACAGTTCATTGACAAAATCTATCTTTACATGGCATGAGGATTAGATCTGCAGGTTAAAATAGGAACTGCATGTAAGAATCGTTACTTAAACAGCTTTGGACTGAAACCAGATTATAAATGTATATTGTAATAATATGGAAATCATGGCTGGTACTCAAAGTTTGTGACAGTAAAGTAAGCATTTCGAATATACATTAAAAAAACTCAAAGAAAGGCAAATAAACCTCTTTATGTAAGAAGTTACAACTCATTCTGTTCAGTCTTCACTTTGATTTCATCATTTGAACAAATTCTTCATAGTTTACTTGACCGTCTCCATCGCAATCTGCTTCTTTGATCATCTCATCGACCTCTTCATTTGTTAATTTCTCCCCTAGGTTTGTCATCACATGACGGAGCTCTGCCGCACTTATAAAGCCATTTCCATCCTTGTCAAATACACGGAATGCTTCTCTGATTTCTTCTTCAGAATCTGTGTCTTTCATTTTACGGGCCATCATAGTGAGGAATTCAGAGAAGTCAATTGTCCCACTCCCATCACAATCTACTTCATTGATCATGTCCTGTAGTTCTGCTTCTGAAGGGTTTTGACCAAGTGATCTCATGACGGTGCCGAGCTCCTTCGTTGTGATTGCACCATCACCATCTTTGTCAAACAAAGAGAAAGCTTCTTTGAATTCTGCAATCTGTTCTTCATTCAGTTGGTCAGCCATTTCAAAGGGTGGTTAGAAGCAGAAAGGCCCAACAGGTACAGTGCAGAAAACCCTCAAGCCTTGTAGGTGCAACTGATTTATGTACATGTAATAAGGTCAAGTCCAAAAAAAGATCATTAGAACTGCTCCTTGTTTTTCAAGTGATTGTTCTTCCACTTGCGGTGGTTTTCAGAAGAAGGATGTTGCTACAATTCATATGGTTTTATTAATAACATTAATATTCTGCTATGTGACACACCTCATACTGCATGTCTAAACAAAATGTTTTTCTTGGCACAGCATTAGTAGAATCTAAACTGCCTACGCCCAACTGTCTCAACCTGTATTTTGCTTTAATCAATTCACAGTTTAATCTATAAATTTAAAAAGTATTAATAAGACACCTATCACTGATTTAACTATATGCACCCGGACCACTTGATCTCAATGAAGTGATCTAAGTGCCAAGTCACCCTCATTTTAACCCTTAAGTATAAAACATTGCCGTTCTGCAGTATTGCCATTGCCGTTCTGCCTATGTTTACATTACAGGGCTTAAATGCCTCTATTAACTGTCACTCGGTAAAACTCTGCTATTTCATAGAGACCATCATATTGGCATGGTGCTTTCTGGTGCATGTGCCTTAGCCTCCCAATGCTTTCCTATGAGAAAGCATTGAATTGACTTTTATCATCAAGACTAATGATCTCAGCCAAGTAACACAGTATGGAAGAAACGTTGAGTAAAATTTTTTAAACTACTTATGGGGAGGAGGAGTGTTCCGTTAACTAAATGGTGACACTATAGAGTTAAGAATACATTATTAATGCTATAGTGTTCGTTGAAACATGAATTTGGTGTATAAGACAGTAAAGGAATACATGCTTCTAATCTCTCTCATCAGCTCTCTACCCCATGTAGAATGGCAAGCTGAAATATCTCCAAATCTTCCAACCTAGCCCCTCATAAACCACTAATCAGGAAATAAAACTTTATTAGGGGATGGGGTAATGTGCTGCCATTGGCTGTCTGATTTCAGCATGCTGTGCTGTGCATGCAGGCATCAGACAACAAATCTGCATAGAATTCACATTAGCCAACCAGATTTCATGTTGTGGGCTGGCTGACACGTCTTAACTTTGATCTTTGTTTATCAGATAACTCTAGGGGATCTGTGCTATCCTTATGTTGGATTGCCATATTTAAGGACACCAAATAAGGGAACTATCTACTAAACAGCACCCTAATTTGGTATCATTAAATATGGAAATCTCATGTAAGGGCACCAATTTAGGGAATTATCAGCTAAATAACAAAAAATTAAAACAGATCAAAATTAAAAAAAAGCCCTTTTCTTCATGTTAATCTTTCAGTTGTTTAGTAGATAACTCTCTTATTTGTTATCATAATGTGAGATTGCAGTATTTAAGGACACCAATCAAGGGAGCTGTGACGAGACCAATCTCGCCACATTGCATTGGAGAAGCCTGGTTGCTCGCCTGCTGCCTTTGGACTATGGCCCCCTGTTAAAAGACATCTTTTTTACCTGCAGAAAAGCTTAATTCATGCTTTTCTGCCTGGGGCTCGGTAGATTTGTTTGAATGTGTTATACCCCAGATAGGAATCCCATGGAGCCCATTCGTATGAAACTGACTGTAAAGACTTTGGCTCCATGGCGATTAAACTGTATGATAGAGTATTGGTCTGAAGCCATTCATAATAGTAATGCTGTCAGACCTGGGCATCTGGGGATATGTTAAGTAATAGTTTAACCCCTTAAGGACTGGACTGTTTTTGCGATGTTGTACATTTGCGACCAGGCATATTTTTACACTTTTGTGGTGTTTGTGTTTGGCTGTAATTTTCAGCTCTCTCATTTACTGTTCCCATACAAATTATATATTGTTTTTTTCAGGACAAAAGGGGCTTTCTTTACATACCATTATTTATATAATCTCATGTATTTTAATTTAAAAGAAATAAAAAAATATGATGAAAAATTGAAAAAAATACATGTTTTTTTGACTTTTACTTGAAAAATCTTTTACTCATCTACAAAAGCGAATGAAAAAAACTGCTAAATAGATTCAAAATTTTGTCCTGTTTAAAAATACCCAGTGTTTACATGCTTTTTACTTTTTTTTGCAAGTTATAGGGCTATAGGTACAAGTAGGATATGGCGGTTTCAAAACAAATTTTTTTAAAATGTATCAATAGTGACATTGTAACACTATCTGTCATAAATCTCTGGAAAACACTCCACATGTATATATTTTTTTTAAAGTAGACAACCCAGGGTATTCATCTAAGGATATTTTGACACTTTCTATGCAACCATTTTACCACAAGTCTTTGCCAAACTTTGCATAGATAGTTGTTTTTTTGTTTTTTTTTCACATACATTGCAATTCAGGTATAAACTTACAGATCCTGTTATGT